TATATATATATATATATATATATACCTGAATTATATATATATAATTGGTTACAGCTGAAGATGATATTTCAATTTTAATCAACTTGTTCTCTGTGGTCTTTTTCTTTAGTTTTGATATTGGTCTATGTACATAAAGTATATTTACTGTTTATAGACACACCTTCTGCCTAATCTTTGCATGAAAATGTAGAAAAAACACATTTTTTTAAAATTCAATATGCTTTTTTTTTTCTACCATCTATCTCTTAATTATAGTTAAGAGAAGTTCAGAACCACAACAAGAAGCAGTTAGGAAAAATATAGTGGCAGAAGGTATAAACTTTGTTAGAAATCTTCTTAAATATTTCACTCAGCCTTCAGAACATTTTTGCATATATAGGAGCCAGAGTGCTGGTTTGTGTCAACTGACATAGCCTTGTTGACTACCAGCTAGGACTTGACCCTTGACTGGTGTGAATTTTACACAAACCTTAACTTTAATAATCACCATGGTATCATTTCCACATCCAGTACCAAGGGTACTGAGGGAGTTGGCTTATGTGATTGCAGAGCCACTATCTGTCATCTTGATTTGAGCAAGGCTTTTGATACAGTTTGCCACAACATTCTCGCAGGCAAGCTAAAGGAAATATGGGCTGGATGAATGGACTCTAAGGTGAATAGAAAACTGGCTGGAACATTGGGTTTAGAGAGTAGTAATCAATGGCTCCTTGTCTAGTTGGCAGCTGGTATCAAGTGGAATGCCCCAGTGGTCAGTCTTGGAGCTGGCTTTGTTCAATGTCTTCATCAACAACCTAGAAGATGGCATAGAGTGCACCCTCAGCAAGTTTACAGATGACACCAAGCTTGCAGGAGTAGTAGATATGCTAGAGGGCAGGGCTAGGATTCAGAGTGGCGTAGACAAATTGGAGGATTGGGCCAAAAGGAATCTCATGAGGTTCAACTTGGACAAGTACAAAGTCTTGCACTTAGGACAGAACAATCCCATGCACCAGAACAGACTGAGGGCTAACTGGGTGGGCAGCAGCTCTGCAGAAAAGGACCTGAGGGTTACAGTGGACAGAAACTGAATATGAGCCAGCAATGTGTCCTTGTTGTCAAGAAGGCCAACAGCATACTGGACTGCATTGGTAGGTATGTTGCCAGTAGGTGAAGGGAAATTATTATTCCTCTGTATTTGACACTGGTAAGGCCACATCTGGAGTACTGTGTTCAGTTTTGGGCAACCCACTGCAGAGAGGATGTGGAAAAATTGAAGAGTGCAGTGGAGGGCAACAAAAATGATGAGGAGACTGAGTTACATGACTTATGAGGAGAGGCTGAGGGACCAGGGCTTCTTTAGTCTAGAGAAGAGAAGAGTGGGGTTTTAATAGCAGTCCTCAACTACCTGAAGAGGGTTCCAAAGAGGATGGAGCTAAACTGTTCTCAACGGTGACAGATGACAGAACAAGGAGCAATGGTCTCAAGTTGCATCAAAGGAAGTTTAGGTTGGATATTAGGAAGAATTTTCTCACTAGGAGGGTAGGAAAACACTGGAACAAGTTACCCAGAGAGGTGGAAGCTCTACCCTTGGAGGTTTTGAAAACCCAGCTAGATATATCTTTGGCTGGGATGATCTAGTTTGGAATGGTTCTGCTTTAAGCAGGGGGCTGGACTAGATGACCTCCTGAGCTCCCTTTCAACCCTACTTTTCTATTATATGATTTCTATGATTTCCACATCCGGTGTCTTACTGACCTTTGTATCAGAAATACCATGGTATAATACTTTCTGGGAGAGCGGGAATCTCGTCATGAAAACTTGTTAAGTGGTATACATGTACTACACATTTCTCAAAGGAAAATGTTACAGTGAATCAGTGTGTTTTGTAGTCTTAAAACCAATGCTTCCTAATTTAATAACAAAGGAGTTGATGTTTGTTTCGCTTTGCAGGTAGGGAGGAAGAAATAATCAGAAAGTCATGGATGCACTGTGTAGTATTTTGCATGCAATAGTAAAGACTTTTTCTCCAAGAGCATACTTATTTTCAGTCTGCATCTCTATTCTGCCCATTCTAGGGCCTGTTGCAAGTCCATTGAAGCCAAAATAACAAACCAATTAACTTCAAAGGGCTTTAACAGACCTCAAGGATGAAATCCTTGGCCCCATTGAAGGTAATGGCAAAAGTTTCATTGACTTAAAAAAGATCAGGATATCACGCCAAGTTTACTGTCTACACTATCTACCAATTATCTACAGCAGTCCTCAGGGGTACAGTACATATGCAACATAATGAAAACAAGATTTATGACAATTAGCAAATTAGGTTGTGCCTGCATAATTTTCCAAATGAATCAGTCCCTGAATTTACACACAATGTGTAATCTGTAAATACTGAAAATTCTAATGATGAATGTAGATTATTAAATACAAAAGATATATCAAAATAAGTACCTGAACAAATCTTGTTTCAATCCAAAGGAAATTTATCTAGTTCTTTTCAAACCTTCCTTCAACAGATTGTAATTCTTTGTTATTCCTATCTACTGGGAATGTGTTTTATTTCTTTATATATATATATATATATATATATATTATATATATCTGGTGGGTTACATACTGTACTTGATAAATAAAACATATCTGTAAACGGATGAAAAAGGATTTCAACAAATGAAAAAAATTGACTTTTTTCTATAAGAGTATATTTTATTATTTTTCAATTCCTGCTAGTTTTATTTATATTAGAAATTCAGTCAAACAGAGAATTGAAATATTATACAACATTGGTGTTTCTACCGTGCCTCAGATGATCAATGTGGCCTAAAATGTCACTGGGTATTTTAACTGCTGTTAGGTTGTAAAAAGCAACATTGTGTTTTGTTTTGTTTTATTTTCTTTTCTAACTGTAGAAATACTATATGGAAGATCTTTGAACAAGTGCCAGTTTTTTTATTGTGATTTCATCTACCATATTTTAAATACTTGGCCTGAACCTGTGAGATGCTCGGGGCCATTTTGTTCCTTTGAAATAAATAGAAATTGACTCAGCTTATGTCCCTACAGAAACAGCACCTTAAAACAACTGGGCCAATATTGGGATTTTAGAAAACCTATCTTAATAGTTATTGACATTAAGCCAATGTCATGCTGACTCCTTATCCTTTCACACTTTCAGTATATATATTTTTAATCTCCCTATGGGTACACAATACACAAAAAAAGTCTGTACACGACCCAAGGGAAATGTTCATCAGGAAGACTATGCAGGGAACTTTCAAAGTAGTATGCACCAAGCACTTACACCAATATCCTTCCAGAAATGTGACATTGGTCCAAAGTACACACGACCTACTTTGAAAATTCTCCTATTCTGCAATCTATCAACAGAATTTGGTATTGCTATGCAATAATCCAACATGCAGTAGCCATGCATATTGACTAACACTTGTGTTTTGTTTTCTTATTATTTTGCAGTGCTGTACATTTTTTTACTTGAATATATTGGCTAGAAATTTTTGGACAATCATTTATTAGCTAGAGGTGCTATTCATGTTCCAAAGATGTTTAGGCTGATGATCAACATCTCTGATGATACTTAACAAGCTTTTTTGACTCAACAAAATGTCATTGTTCATACTGTATATTAACACTGTAAAAATGCTTACACACTGCATTATGTTGTATTTAAATGCATATTTATAACTTCTTGCTCATTAACTCCTATTCCAGGCCTGTATTAGTGTCTAACATGTCTAGTGTGACCATTTAAATTTATGGAATTATAAGGTTAATTATGTATGATAAGCAATTTAAACAAATGAAAACTGAAAATAAAATTTCCATGTACAATTCTGGATGTAAGCGTTGTCTCTTCTTTGGAAACATTACTAAAAATGTGTTTTTACACTAATAAAATATGTTTTCATACTAATAAAATATTCTTGTATTTATTAGTTTTACAAAGCAAACTAGAATAGGTGCTATAACCTACTCTATGTGTATGTAACTTTATTAATATCATAGGAATTATTCATGTTATCTACAACACAATATGTCTCACTAGCTGGAAACTGTTAGCGTTTACAGGCAAGACTCAGATTTTCTCATTGCACACACATTAGTCACCTAAGCCCTCAGAATGGATATATGACTGTATCCAGCAAACTCATTAAAACGATATGCAATATGAGCCTCCATTTTAGAATTCAGCATTCACAAAGCATATTCACTCAGGCTCTCAAACATTCAGATATATGCCTCACTCCTGCCTGATCTCCTTTGTGATTCAAATCATTCACTGAAAGTGGACAAACTCCATAGACAACCCTACAACAGCCCCAATATTAATTGAACAAAAACCATGACTAACTGATATTGACAGCACTGACTTTTCCTCAGAAGAGGTCATGTCCACCTTTTGCCCAATAATCTAATGCAACATTTCCCAACCTTTTCCATCCCACGGCACACTTAAATTAAAAAAAAATTGCAACATACCACCCCCGCCCCCAACATATAATTTGGCCGCCACTGCCACCCACCGCCCCACAGAGCAGGGGCGGAGGGTTGCATAGCACTGGCTGGAGCCATACTCTGGCCCGAGCCACACATCCCAAAAGCATTACGGACGGAGTGTTCATTTATTCTTTCATGCGTGTGTCTTTTGCAAAATTCTGTGGCACACCTGTTCATGTCTGATGGCACAATAGTGTGCCCCAGCACACCAGTTGGGAAATGCTGATCTAATGGACAGAGCATTCAAAATATGAGCAAAATGGATTCTAGCCCACCTGCCCCGACTGAGAGGGTTTGAACCCAGAAGTGCCACTTACAAAAAGATTATCTTAATCAGCAGGCTACAGAATACACTAGGAGAGAGTGGCTTTCACCTTCCTGTTAAAGTTCTTTCAATGAACAGCTAAGAGTGCAAGCATCATGGGTCCAGAAATAAAGGTGAAAATAATTCTCCTTTTATATCATG